TGTCATTCAACTAAAACCATGTAATAAGAAAAAAAATACATAAACCAAAATATTTCCACTCAATTTATCTGCCCCATGTTTTTCTTTAAGTCACAGCTGCATGTTTTACATACCGAAAACATGTTTTTATTCCTGCTAGCAGCCTAGCAGACCAAATACGGTTACAGATGAGCCAAGCTGATTTTATTTTGCCGCTTCATGTACCACCAATAAAACTGTCAGCTAGATTCTGATTCCAGAATCTTTATACATTTTTGATGGTGATGGAAAGGGTAGAAGAAACCCAGCTTGGTTTTTCATATCCCAGGGTGAATTTACAGTGCTAGTAGTTAGAGTAATTTCTCTCTTTTTCTCTCTCTCACTCTCTCTCTCTCACACACACATACGTAAATTGGAAATATTTGATAAGGGAGTGTTTTAGAGAAAATAAATCCATCCCTGCCATTCCTAGAGCACATTTCTGACTAGTCATACTTAGATGGCATAGAAAAATATTAGAGTGCTTTAAACATATAGAGGATTCTGTATTCCTATAAACATTATTTTGTACTATTGTAGGGGAGTACATAAGGGCAACAGACAAGCCCTGTAGTTGTCTTTGGCCCTTATAATATGGGAAGTCACATGGTATGAAATCTTCACATGTCTGATTCTCTTTATAATTCATTATACAATCATAATTTTATCCCAAATTGTCCTCAAGTGTGCGCGTAGTATTATGAATTATAAAAAGAATCAGACATGAGAAGAAGGCATGCTATGTGACTTCCCACACTGTAAGGGCCAAAGACAACTTCAGGACTTGTCCATTGCACTCCTGTGTAACCATAACTTACACCAAACTGAATCAAACTAAATTTGGTAGTGAACAAAGGCCCTGAGCTTGTAAACACATATGTGAACTCAAGGCTGTTAATGACACTTTGTGACCAGACATCTGTGAATCCATAGCGGCACCAGGATCTGCCAGTTTTCAAGGGACCTTATAGTAAAGATTAAGGCAAGAAGGGATCACGTGATTATCTAGTCTGACCTGTGCACCAACATCACCCAGGACCCACACGCTAAACCCTTCAAGGAATGAGATCCAAAGGAGAGTAGGGTGCCATAGGCAGACAATAGAAGGGACTGAGGAACATCAGTGCTCAAAGTCCCTGCAATGGCAGGAAAATGGTTAAATGAGATATACTCAGACAATCCTGAAAAGTGACACACATCTATATGCTGCAGGGGAAGACAACTCCCCCACCCCCATTATTCCCCCCTCCACAATGACAGGAAGGAATTTTCCCAACTTCACATTTCTGGATCAGTGACACCCTGAACATATGAGCAAGGACCAGCTAATCCAGCTCTTGACAGAGAGAATGCTTGATGCCATGGGTGGCGGGTGAAGGCCTAGCTTGGGAAGACAAGCCGAAGCCTCGCCCCTTGTGCCTGAAGCCCCATCCCCTTCCCCAAGACCATTCCCCTTCCAGCCAAAATGCTGAGGGCCAGGGCTGTGGTGTGGCCCCAGCCCATCCCAGGTAGCTGGGCAGTGCAAGCTGTTTTGGGACAGCAGTGCCTTTCCTACCACTCACTACCTTGGCCCCATTCACCTAGGCTGTGTCTAGACTACATGGCTCCATCGATGGAGCCATGTAGATTAGGGTTGTAGGCAAAGGCAAATGAAGCCGCGATTTAAATGATCGCGGCTTCATTTAAATTTATATGGCTGCCGCGCTGAGCCGACAAACAGCTAATCAGCTGTTTGTTCGCTCAATGCGCTAGTCTGGATGCTCCCCTGCCGACATCAAAGCCCTTTGTCGGCAGCCCCAGTAAACCTCATCCCACGAGGAATAACGGGGATGCCGACAAAGGGCTTTGATGTCGGTGCGGGAGCATCCAGACTAGCGCGCTGAGCGGACAGCGCTGAGCGGACAAACAGCTGATCAACTGTTTGTCGGCTCAGCGCGGCAGCCATGTAAATTTTAATGAAGCCGCAATCATTTAAATCGCGGCTTCATTTGCCTTTGCCAAAAAAACAAATCTACATGGCTCCGTCAACAGAGCCATGTAGTCCAGACATACCCCTAGTGTCCCAGCTCAAGAAGTGATCACCCCTAATGCTTCAGAGGAAGGAGAAAAAAAAACGTGCAATGCATTGGAGTCAGGGCGGGACTAATCTCTTCCTGACCTTTTTTAGCAACCAGCTGCAACCCTGAGACATAAACATCAGGAACATAAGAGAAACCAGAAGTGACCTCTATGGATCTTGAGCCTTGCCTCTATGTTCATAAGCAACCCTAACTATTATAATGCACTCAAATTTGTCCTGCTCACTGTTTAAAATAAGTAAGTTGCTTCCCTCCCTCCCAAACTTCTTTTGGGAATCTGTTCTAGAACTTCACCTCTTTGATGGTTAGTAACCTTCTTCTAATTTCTAGCCTGAAGTTGTTCATGGACAGCTGGTATCCATTAATTCTTGTATCAATGCTGTTCTTCAGCCAGTAGTAAATGTAACTTACATTTCTTACTGGTATGGTCACATCACAACTCTTCTTCCCACCTCCACTCCTACATACTTAACTTCATGAATCCGTTTGCATGACTTTGATACAGAGACCTTGTTGACCCTGCCACTTACAGCTCTGAAACCTTCCTCTGTCAGGGGTATGAAAAAACACACACAAAGTTTTCAGTGCTGTAAAGCAGTAGTATAGACAGTGCTGTGGCACGGAGACCTGCATTCTTAGTGCTGGTTGCTGTTCCCCTCATGGAGGTGATTTTATTATGGTGTTAGGAGAGAGCTCTCTCAGGCCTGCAGCCATGACTTCACAACTAGTATTAAAGTGCTGCCAACATCACTTTAATGTTGTTTATGAATATATACTCCTGAAGTGACTTTGGCCACTTTCTTACCAGCCTTTACCAGCTTACTTTCACTTCTGCCTATAGCATAAATACACCTACCTTCCCATGTATTTATCTCCCCTAATGAATCATATTCCCCTCTCACCCTTCCTCGTATTTGTCTCACCTAATCAACCATATCCCCTGTCAGCCTTCTTTCAATGAGGCTAAAAAAGCCAAATTCTACAAGGCTCCTTCCAGAAAATAGGTCCTCCATTGCCAGGATTAACCTCATAGCTCTTCTCTGCACCTGTTCCAGTTTAAAATAGTTTTCCACGAATATAATGACCAGAAGCCTGCACAGTGGTCCTACTGAGGCCATTGCAGTGCCTTTCACAATGGAATTAATACTTCTCCGTCTCTATTGGAAATTCCTCACCTGATAAATCCTAGGACTGAATTCCTTTTTTCCCCCTGACAGCCACATCACATTGGTGACTCAAACATCCTATGATCAACCCATAGACCAAGGTGTCTCTCCTCTGTTGCTTCCAACTGATGAGCCCTGAGATGTAGCTGAAATTCTTAGACCAAGTTCACCACCATTCATTTTGCTATTGCATTTCATCCTATTTCTGTCACTTCAGTCATTAAGGTCATCCAGATCTTCCTGTATAATAGTCTAATCCTTCTCTGTATTGACAATGCCTCCAAACTTTATATCAATAGCAGATTTCCCTAGTATGCTCCTATTTTTGCATCAAGGTTATTAATACAAAAAATTGGTAATATTGATCCGAAGACCAACCCTTAAGGAACTCTACTAGTAACTTCTTCTAAGTCTGGTAACACACATTTCAGCACAACCTGTTGCTTTCTCTCCTTTAGCTAATTCTTTACCCATCAACAAGCCTTGTATTGGTCTCCATCTTCCCTAGTCTGCTATGTATTTGAGTTCGTGCATTTGTCTGTCTGATCATCTGTCTGTCTATGAGTACATTTGTTCAAGAACTCCTAAACAGTAAGAGCTAGGAACACCAACTTTGGCATGCAGTTTCCTTTTATCTGAAAGCAAGGTCAGGGTTTGATCGTGCCAGGACAATGGGATGTGCCTGGCATGCAATTGTTTCTCATCAAATAGAAAGGGAGGGGACAGCTCTCCCCAAAAAGACTGGGGGGGGGGGGGGGGGACAGCAAGTGCCCTAGCCCCAGGGGGCAGCCGGGCTGCACAACCCCTATTACACCTGACCTGGTCCCTTAGGATCAGTCAGTGGGTGGGCTGTGTGGCCTATGCTGGCCCCAATCCCTGTCCTGAGCCTCCCCCAACTCCCAACCCCCAGCACTGACTCCAGCACTCCTCATCCCCTGCCCTGAGCCCTTCCTCACCTTGCACTCCTAACGCCTGCACCCCCACACTCCTAACCTCCTGCCCTGAGCGCCCCCCCCCCCACATTGCCAAGCCCGTTCCCTGACTCCTGCATGCCCCACATCCCAAGCACCTGCTCTGACGGACCTGAGCAATGCTGGGTAAGTGTTCTAGTGTAACGCATAATTTCTCATGTAGTGCAATGTCAAATGCTTTATGTTTTAGACTTACTATACTTCCCTCATCTAAAAAAATCAATTTTTCTAAGTAGGAAATCAGGTTAGTCTGTCAAGAACTACCTTTAGTAAACCAGTGTTGCATTACCTCCTCTTTACCATTTACCACAATGAAATCAACTATTCTGATTAGCTTCAATTCTACCAATAACATTATTAGAACTGGCCAAACAATCAAAAATAAATGTAGCTTATACTTTCATAATATTTTCTCTTTTGATTTGATTTGATTTTGAGAACCATGGTATGAAATTCGTATTGCATGGCTTGGCAGAAGCAATTCTCGATGCAGAACAGATAAACTACAAAACTCAGCAATTCAATATCCCATCCTCTAGGTGCTGAGCTTCTTCTCTAGGATTTCTCTGCCTTGCTCTGGCTTAGGTAAGATGTGTAGTACTTGTCAACAGGACAGCAACCCAAACTGCTAAGCTATTTCATTGTTTAAATGAACCTTTAGGATATATTGTGACATAAACAATAAAAAATTACACTAAACCCAAAGTTTTCCCAACAGATATTTCTAATGATAGCACACAGGTGAGAAAATACTGGCATGAAGATACCTCCATGTTCTGGGAGAAAGGGTCCTTAGGATCACACAGTGATGAAGATATTCTGTGGTTGCCACGGAAACACCGTTGACTGCTGTTCTGTGGGACTGGAAATGTCTGACGAATAATTGTTAACCTTCCAATTGACCTTCTCACTAGCTCCTGCACATCCACATCATTTATTTCCTGCAAGATAAGGCATAGAATATGTAGAAAAGTTAAAATATAGGACTGTCACCAACAGATTATAGATGAAAATCAAACTGAAAGTGCTGGAAGATGTGGCATCACTGTACTGCATTTATTCAGTGCTGTCATGTCCTCAAAGAAAAACACATGAGTATTCATTAAATTGACTGGCTTAATATATCTATAGTTTATCATGTGTTTAGATATGCTACACTGAAGCCTGAAGAGAGACTGGAGGGTGTAAGTTAGCTCAGATTCCCCTCCTCCCCCACATACACACACTTTTCCCTTTCATCTTTTATTGTGTAGTGTTTCAGAGCAGATGTTTAAGTAGTAGGAAGACATTGAATGAAGTATTGTTAAGTGAGGCATTACACAAGGAGCACTGAGGATGCAGACAGTTATTGAGGTTCTGGTGTTCATTTCCTGGATAATTAATATCAAGAAACTATACAGTACATAATTTAGTAGTTAACTAACAATTTATCCAAATGGGCATGGGGGAGGGGGAGGCAAGAGAGAGAGAAAGAAAAGCAATAGAGTATTCAAGATTGTGTAAGTGTTCTTGTGTATAGCAACATCTCATTTAAAACTAGCTTTTTATCTGTAAAGTTGCTCTTATGAGTTAAATCTGAGCACCCACAGCTCAGGACAGACATGTTAAAAAAATTAAATAAATCACAAAGTTAAAATTTATTGGATATTTTGGTTTGGAGAAGTCTGTGGTATGTAAGTATGTGTGCAAGGAAAGAGTTTAGGCTATGCAGTTTTACACAAGACATGGATATGACCCTGAATTTGGTATGGGTAACTGATTAATAAACAATAAGAATTAACCCAAACCTTTATTCAAAACTTGGACCTGAATCTTTTCTGAGGCCTAAAAAAAGTTTAGTTTAACGCAACAAATTTTTAGGGCCACCTTGTGTCTTTTCGTTCATTTTTTCTGCACACAAGCCATTACTGAAATACTGTATGGTATAATACAATGTATCTTGTGCAATCTCTCTCAAACCTAGAGTCTGTCCCTCAGAGAGTGAATAATTTGCTTATTTCCTCTAATGAATTGACCCTGTTTATCAGAATGTACTTGATGTCCAAAACAAAAGAGTTTAATGCTCCATGATGACATTAGCAAAAATTGTATGAAGATTGTAATAGTGCTTTCCGTGACTTTCAGATTGAAAAAGTTTAGATAATCTTCTGCTGACCAGAAAAACTTTTGAATATTATTTTTTTTAAAAAAAGAGCATTTTGAGGCTACCCCAACAAACAATATGCATCTCAGCATGGTTATTCTGCATTCCATTGGAGGTATATTAGGTATATCTGATATTAGGAATGGCAACATACAAAAACCTGTAGGGGAACACTTCAATCTTCCTGGACACACAATTGCAGATCTAAAAGTAGCCATCCTGCAGCAAAAAAACTTCAGGACCAGACTTCAAAGAGAAACTGCTGAGCTACAGTTCATCTTTAAGTTTGACACAATCAACTCTGGATTAAACAAAGACTGTGAATGGCTTGCTAACTACAAAAGCAGCTTCTGCTCTCTTGGAATTCACACCTCCAGATCAGCTGATAGAAGTGGGCCTCATCCTCCTTGATTGGCTCCACCTGGTCATCTCCAGCCTGATCCTGGCCTGCATATTTATTCCTGCCTCTGGAAATTTCCACTACATGCATCTGACGAAGTGGGTCTTTGCCCATGAAAGCTTATGCTCCTACACTTCAGTTAGTCTATAAGGTGCCACAGGACTCCTCGTCGCTTTTGCAGATTCAGACTAACACGGCTACCCCTCTGATAATTGGAGGTATAGTTTCATAAAGGTATATTTTCGTAAAGGTTTAAAGCTTAGCTTCCCTTTTTTGCAGCAGTAAACTGCAAATGCACCTGTATGTCTGTAAATGAATTAGATGAGCAAATCAGTGCACTTGCGCTTCTAACTTCATGATTTGTGTACACAACCACATATTTTGGAAGCACAAACACTCAAATATTAGATCACAATGCAATTTTCTTTTGGGAAAAAGCAAACCACACACTTTTAAATATGCTAGTTTTTAACTGTAAACACCAATCCTGAAATATTTTTCTGGCTACAATGAACATGCTTAAAACTAACAGTTTAGATATAGCTCTATTTTGTTTATTTTCTTTAAAGCTATGTAAAAGAATATCCTAAGAGTTGTGAATTTTATCATCAATTCTCTTGACTACACAAAACCTATTTATTCTTCTTCATAGTATGTCATAGCTTTTGGACTCATCTGTTATTTATGCTCTTTATGAAATATAGATTTTTCTGCAAACAAAATAACACATGGCATCAGCTCTGTCCAGTGTAATATCCTGCATTTCTGGTCGATTAATCCTTAATGTACCATAGATAATGGTTTCTCTCAGCTTAATATGCCATCTTTTCATTTAGTCTGTATTATTTCACTAGCTACAAGAGAAAAGCTGTTTCTTTGGCAAAAATGCAGGCCCTTTTTAAAGTACACCTGAAATATAATCATAGAGGACAGTTAAAAAGAATATTATTTTAATTCAGAACCACACCTTTTATCAGCCACTGTGCTTATGGGGGAAGTTCACTATGGATCAACATTTTTTTTTCTTCACATCTTGCCAATACTGGTACAGAAAAGATGTCACTTTTTTAATACAGTGAAAAATCATACCAACATGTCCATGCTGCGCCATCAACTAATATTTCATAGCTGTACAAATATTTATCATTTTTTCTCCCAAAAGAACAGCATATTTTTTCTGTATTCAGCAGTTTTGTGCATTTTAATTAGAATTCTCTGGATTGTGCCTCTAGGTCATTGGACATTTTTAGGCATATTGTGTATTTTAGAAATATTTTCTGGAGACAAAAAGCAGTCCAAACAAACATCAAAGAGACATGAGCAATGTGGGAATTGTCAAAGTGATGAAAACAATAGAACAAAAATACACTGAACAGATTCATGACAAACGCAGCTTAGATTCTGTTGACTGTACTGATATGATAATAAAGTTGCCTTTTTTGTTTAACATCTCAATTGCAAAGCTGTTCCACATAAACATAAATCCATCTTAAATCAGAACTATTTGATTAAAATATATTTTGCCTCTTTCAAACAATTCTTCCACTATTTTCTCTTGGAATTGATTGATGGCAAGAACCTTTTCTACTGTACAAAACCAGACTATCAGATCATCCTTCATTCATTCTGATATTTAGATCTGAGCTGAAGAGATGGTCTTATAATGACAAGAAAACTAGATCAAAGGACTAATTCATAGATTGAAACTATTTGCATTTCAAGTTCAGGGAAGGATACAAGGGTTTAATAAACGGGTAAATATACATAAGCCTCACTGGACTTACTGAAAGTGTACTGGGGGAAATTGAGGCACCGAGATTTAACTACAGCACTGCACTAGGCCACAGGGGACACTCCAGGGAGATGGCCCCCATTACAAGGAGCTTCATTAAAATCATTAATTTTAAAACAATTTCAATGGCTTATGCTTGCCACCTATGCAGACTCATATAGCCCTATCCCCAGAGGTATGAGTCAAGATGCCTCTCTGTTGCTTGTCATTTGGAATGGATTCTCCCCTCTTTTTAAATGTTTCTGGGTTCTTGCGATGACTAGTGTCTCCACCCAAGGTGACTCCTCACTGTGCCCCAGAACACAAGGGTAGCTTCTTTTGGGAAAATAAATAACGCTATCACTTCTGTCCAAGCATATGAAACCCAGTTCACGGAAAACAACAAAGTCCATCAAGACAAGCCACGGCAAAGGAATGACACTTCCCAGCCAACAATATAACAATGTAGGATTTATGGAGTCAGGGTCTCTTGCCTACAGTAAAAGAGTCTCTTGCCTTGGGCCAATGAACCTGCAAACGTCAAAACCACGATGATCCTTCCTTTTGAACAGCTTATCATTCTTTTTATCTGGTGTTCCTCCTATTACCTGGGAAGTCCTTCCATCAGGACCAAGTTTTGGTGGTTGGCATCCATAGCACCTTTCTTTGGAAGCCTCCCCAGCTAGGATCACTCTTCCTTAACCTCCTTTCCTGATAATTTCTCTCATCAACTCCTCCTAAAAAAGCCCTCCCCTTAGCACTTTCTCTTTCTGCGTACTGTTCTTCCCCCAGTTGTCTTTTTTTCCCACTGGGAGCAACTACCAAGTCAACTGTCCCGATGAGTACTTTTCCCTGCATTTCTTCCTTGTGAGCTCATCTGCAAAAGCCTATGTAACCATTTGTAAAGCCCATGTGCTTCTTAAGTAATGACCTGAATAGCTGGGCAGTACTTAATCAATTATCTGCAGATGGATGCTGGTTGTCTCATTCTCTTTAGCACAGCCTGTTATAGGTAGCTGAGGGCCTGACCACTTGCAGAAGGCCAGCTACCCTGTAACACCCCACAAGTAATTATTTTGCATTAATCTACTGCAGATGTTCAAAGTGTGCCATTACATTAATTAGTGAAATCCAGTTAATTACCTTCTGGGATCTACCAGAACTTCAAAAGTTGAATGCTAATTTCACAGTATGACCTACCCTAGCCTTTTCTTCATAAAATAATAACAATGAATAAATAAAACCCAACAACTAGAACCCACTCATTTTGGGACTGATATATAAAAAGAAATTCTGTGCATGGATGCATGCACACAAGAAACTTCATTTAAATCTGTTTGAGCTGTGTGCATGCACCGAAGGGAACCTTTTACTTGTTTGAAAAATGTGTATCTTTAATGATTCAAACTTTTTCAGAGGTGTTTCACCTATAATAACTGTGAACAGTGCAAAGAGCTTTGGGCTGTCATCTGAAGGAAGATCAGTAGGAGATATGAGTTTAACTAATCACTAAGGAAGAAATCTCAGAAGAGCAGCCATATTAATCTGTAACTTTAAAAACAACAAGTAGTCCTGTTGTACCTTAGAGTCTAACAAAAATATATAGGATCATGAACATTTATGGGTA